ATTAATAATTTATATTAATTAAAATATAATATAAATAAATAAAAAACAGAAAATAAAATAAATAACATATATTAATTAATAATTTCCTTTAAATAATAATAAAATAAAAACTAATAATAACAAAAAGACAAAAAAACACAAAAACTCATAAAACTAATTATTTAAAACCTAACTAGGGGTGCCAATGGCAATGGCTAGGGGTGCCATTAGCCTCCCCCTTTGTTTCATCTTATCAGTAAACTACAAATTTTGTCCGTTACATCAGCTATTTTGTCCTTTTTCAAGGGCATATTAGTCTTTTTATCTAGTCAAGTGACCGTTCATGTAACGTTTTGTAACATGACCCTTTTTTTTGCTGTGACGTATGTGAAACTTCTTAATGCGTATTCTTTATACCCCTTCCTCACTCGCATACCCTTTATACTAGAACTCGCATTTCCGTTAATATTACACGATTCTTTTGAGCTTCATCGTGATAGAGCTTGGATGTTGTATTCATCGATATTTAATGCATGTTTCGTGTTTTGTACACGGGTAAGTTTGATGGGAAATGTGAACTCAAATCCCATCAATCGTATCACTTTTTTGAGAAATACGATAAGAACGAAGGGATGTTAATTTTACTGAAATAATTGAATGAACAGAAAATGATTTTATCGAGATAATCATGATAAAGCAACAAGTGATGTAATACATAAGACGGTAAGATGATATATTGAACAGTTAAATTTAACAGTTTAATTTAGGGCCATCCATTTTTTGAGAATGATTGTTTAAACCTGCTTTCCTAACAAATCAAGCAGGTCTAACGGATTGTACCTTTCATAAACAAATATGAATTAATGTCAGCCATAATAAATATGATTAAATGAAATAAATTTTCCATATGTACGAATTTAGAAGTGTTGTTTTCTAAACTCTTTTCTCGTTTGAAAATATTGATGCTGTTAGGATGTACTGTCATCATCGTTACAGTATATTTATATTATTGTATGACTGTTATTTTCAAAGACAAAATGATTGGTTTTTATGCTATTAAGGCATATCTGAAATATAATTTACTGAATATGGACAACGTTACGTAACGTCTTATTCAATTCAACCATTTTATAGAACTAAGGGACCGTTCGCCAAATACTTACCCGATAAATGCTTGCCGGTAAATTCAACACCATTACCTACTTACCGGGTAAGATTTTAGACAACAAAAACGACATCGTATGCAATAGTTTACCTGGTAAGGGCTAACCGTGGTAAGAGTCGTCGCCCTCACTTAAAGATTTCGTTGAAATTGTTCGTTTGCAAATTTCCCGAAAAGCTAATCATAGGTTCCTCTCTCCATCGGAAAAAAATGGGATTGCGTGTAATAAGCTTTTGATATTCAGCAATTCCTGTTAAAAAATAATCGCAAAAATCCACGCGTAAGCAGTGGCGGATCCAGGATTTTTGTTCAGTGGGGTCATCTTTAAGGTAGACTAAAGGTCCGCAAAATCGTCCAATGTATTTTTGATTTAATTACAACGTTTCGAGGGATTTTTAAAGTTTTTTGGTTGATTTCGAGGGATTTTTTAGTGTTTTTGTCGATTTCGAATAACTTTTTTCGTTTTTTTGATTGATTTCAACATATTTTTTTGGTTAGAGTAACGGTTTCGATTGGGTTGGGGACCCGTGGAAAAATGTAATAGGGGGAAGTAAAAGGTAAATCATGTAAAATCTAAATTTTAACATAGGAATTTTTTTTTTGAGTTTTTGACTGGGGTCCTTCCCCCCTCTTTTTTGCTATTGCATCATCCCCTGCGCGTAAGACTCTCGGTCCTTGCCTTTTGCTCACTCGGTAAGATTATTGATACTTGCTATATTCATTCAGTAAAGTAATGTGACTTAGTAAGCGTTTTACCTGGATAAACATTTGGTAAACGAATCCTAAGTAAAAACAAACACTACTTAATGGTACCAAAGGGCTTTGGCCTAGCGGTATGTGAGTCTTTGGCCTTCTAAGTCAAAGGTTCAACCCTCACCAAAAGTAAGGAGGATGTGTGAGTTTATTTATTCTATTTGTCGTATATAAATATTATATATTTAAAAAAAACACTACTTAATGGTTGGACACATAAACCCTTAAGATTATTGAGCTAAAAACAGACAAGCACCAAGTATGTTTTTTTTTTTTTGGAGTTTATAGAATATATTCTAGAGGTGATCATTTGTGGGCTTGATAGGCCATGGACCAGGCCTAACCAGGTACGGATTCAGAAATGTTTTCAAATGATGACATCATTTGACTATAAGAAATAAATATAGGGAAAAAATTTCAAACAACGGCACCATTTGACTATAAGAAATAAATATAGGGAAAAATTTTCAAACGGTGACACCATTTGACTAATAAAATGACATTAACAAGATTCGAACTCGGATCTGGGAAGGAATAAAAGCGTTGCAAACCAAATCTACGAAATAAAACTTGTTCTCATTGTAATTTCAAAATACATATGATGACACACAACAAATTAATGCAGTTGCACTTTTCACAAATCTAAATCTTTTTACCCTTCAATGAAGAAATAATACGGGGGAACCATTGGCACCACTGTAGGTCCATCCATGGGCCTATAGCAAACCCAAACCCCTTTTTGTGGGCTTGTGAATTTTTGTGCATATCCTTCCTATAAACGGGTCGGACTTACCAACACGCTAATGAGCTTAAAAATTTACATTTAAAATAACTTATATAAAATGCTAAGTTATGTAATATTATCCAAAATACATAATTTTCTTCCAACTAAAAAAACGTGAAATATACTGACGTACACAACGTAAGAAAACAAGTCTTTTCACAAAATATGGAGTATGGACTTTTCCTCTTCAAGGATTATCAACCTTTGGAGTTCGGATTCTTCAACAGCAAAATATTTAACCACCTAATATATCTAGAACGAGGTTTGAGAAGAGTTGAGTTTCTGTGAGAATGAAAGTTATAGTGAGAAGGGTAAGAAACGATCTCTACCCTTGGATCAGTCATAATTGAAGATCAACAGTAATGAGATGCACCGAGTCAATTCCTTACCAAACACAATTCATGGGATGAGGGTGAGATTAAAAGTGATCAAGAGTCTAGATCCCTTCTTACGTTTCTCACTTTAACTTCATTTCTCAAACGATCATTCGTGTCACTTAGGGAGGTGGTTGGTTATTCAATAGAGTGAATCCGACCCAAAACCACTTTTGAACTTTGTTAAATCAAATATTAATTGTAGTAAATAATTTTTTTTATCAAATTATAATTACATAACAGGTTGGGCAGACCTATCCGAATCTTTTTCATCGCTCAAGCACGCCCATTAATTTGAAAAGCCTAGTCCAAACTAGCCAATATTTTTTTAAAAATAGCTGTCTAAGCCTGTTTTCTAATAAGCCAGACGGACTGTACTGTCTATCAACAACTTTACTGTATTCTTTCTTGACTGAACCATCAAAACAAAAATCAGAATCATCATAAATAAATATTTCACTGAATTTGACAATTAACAACTTCCAAGATTTAATGTTGAAGAGTTGACAACTTTATGACAAATCTTATTCCTCTGGTATTGAAGCTAAAACATCAAAGTCTTTAGATATGACACATGCTCAAAGACCTATATGTTAAAATAGACTTTTTTTGTACAATGGTGCACACATTTTCTACATGTACTATCATTAAAACAATGATATTTGACCCAACTGGATAGATCAAGAAAACAGCAGTGCAGCTACAACAAGAACTGAATATGCAACGACAATCCAAGGTTGTAACTGTAACAGAAGCTGAATATGCAAACAGTAATCCAAGGTTGCATATAGGGCTGTAAACGAACCGAACGTTCAGCGAACCGTTCGTGAATCGTTCGGCGGGAAGTTCGTTTATGTTCGTTTATTTAATAAATGAACGAACATGAACAATTTTTTTGTTCGTTTAGTTAAACGAACGAACATGAACAAGAGTCTCGTTCGTTCATTTATGTTCGTGAATGTTCGTTCATTTACCGTTCGTTTACGTTCGTTCATTTATGTTCGTGAACGTTCGTTCATTTACCGTTCGTGTTCGTTCGTTTGTTCGGTTAAGTTAAACGAACGAACATGAACAAGCCTCCGTTCGTGTTCGTTCGGTTCGTTTACAGCCCTAGTTGCATACCCATGGTCTTATGATTGTTAACATAGGAAGCTAGAAATCATCTGTTTCAATAAAGTACGTAGTAGGTAACAAGTTTGTTATCAGTTTTACCAGTATTTATATATACCTTGACAAATAGTTCAGATATATACCACACATCGTTACGAACTTTACAAGCACTTTGCATCGATAAAAACGTTCCATGGAATACCTCTCATCAGATTAAATATAAAACTAAGAAAAGGAAACTTCTTTAACATGCTTTAATGAAAACTGTACAGGTTTGAACTTAGTTCTGCATGCCGGTTATTATTAAATCAGCTCAAGAAGTCTTGCATATCTCTTTTCAACCCTACATTTTTGACTTCATTCAATTAAAATATACCTTCTTAATATATATATATATATATATATATATATATATATAGGAAGATCAAATGTTAACCAATAACTTTGTGTTAACTTTGAAAACCATGACAACCAATCAAATTCTATTCTTCTTGTAGGTTTATGTCATACTCACATTTTAATTACAAGGGTATTTCAGTAAATTTATTTGATATGTAACTCCCAAACAATTAATGGGGAGTTACAAATCATCAAATCCCAAAAAAATATACATTTATAATATTAATAATTTTTTTTAATCTTGATCTTCCATGTTTATTGTTTTATCAGTTTTTAATTCGCATAGAAAATACGGTAGTAAAAAGTTTTGGTATCGATCAAGCTAATATAGATAAACGCAATGGAAAATAAATCGACACAATGAGAAGATTAAAATGGTTTATGATGACAATCGGAGTTCGAAGTCGGGAATTGAAGAAATTAACCGAAGTAAATGTCTTGGTAATAGATTTTTATTTTTTTAGATTCGTTTTAATCGAAATTATGTTCATTACGATGTGTTGTGTTTTTTATAACTCATCTTGTATTGATATTTTTTTTCTTTAATTATTAAAATACGTACCTAATTCACATGTTCAAATGGAAGTACATGCACGACCCATTTTCATATTGTCATATTACCGACTTTTATGAATCATGAGCCATTATGTTCATGTTACTTCTATCATATGAACACAAATGTTATTTTTTAAACTTGATACCAAATCTTTATATTTGTGTAAGTGTTTGCACCCGTATTCATAGCGTTGGGGTTATGTGTTCATATATTTTATACGATATGAACAAGAGGTGAACACGATATGAACAAGAGGTGAATACGATATGAACACGATATGGGGAGCGTTCAAATAAAAACCAACCAATTTGTAAAAACCGTGAAAATCAAATTCAACCAATCATAAWTTTTTATTTTGTTCATTTTTTTGTAATTATGAGAAGTTGATTAACCATTTTTATTGTGGAGGGTGTTAATCATGGATATTATCATCTTCATTATTTTAATTTTAGAGAAATACATGAAACAGTTTCATTAAAATTTATATGAAACAATTTCATAACCATATATGAAACAAATTCATCAAAAAAAGCATTATATGAAACAATTTCACAAGATTAAACAATTTCATGAAAAAATTTCATAAGATTAAACAATGAAATCGACGTATGAGGGTGGTTTGTATGGTTTTTACAAATGAGGGTGGTTTTCATTTGATCGCTCATATATATATATATATATATATATAAAGAAATGTTATTATGAGTTGATTTCTAAAACGATGAGTTGACTGGTCGAGCCATATGAGTTGATTCGGTTCGTTATTTCGGGTTGAGAGGCTTAATGTGTTACGAGGCATACAATAAGCCAATGGCTAGAGGGCATAATGAAAAGAAAGCGAGAATATAGTCTTTTAAGTTATAAGGGTTTCTATATTCAGATTGAGAGATCAAAAATCCAAATTCAGTTGCAGAGATTCTACTGTAAACGATATATATTTTCAAAATAAGATACAACGAAAGTATAATAGGAAACTTGACGCGTTGCAATAGATAACTCATACGGTTCTGAGTGGGCATATAAATTAGAGCACAAATATAATCAGTTTAAAGTTGATTTAACGTCTTTTGGAATGTCAAAGTTGATTTTTAAATTTAAGCAACGTTTTGTACATGGTACATATATTTCACGAATAATTGAATGTCGTACCTGCAATAAGTGAATAGGGGAAAAACTTTGATATCAAGCTTCAAGATAACAACAAAACGTAAATTTATTCGTGTGTAAAGGTTCAATCGAGCTAATTGTACTAGGGTTCCATATGCGTCAGACATCAACACATTTTCCTCTACTATATGTTTAGAATCTCAAACTTTTTCTTCATTAAGCGCTCTTTTGAACGGTACCCAGATAGGATTTCAGATATTTTCACATGGTATTAGAATTAAAGACTCGACACTTTGGGGAAATGTATACATGTCTAACCCCGATTGACACTCAAATAACCTGTGCCCATATTCTCCGTAGTACTTGTTTTTGCTTTTGACATGATCACCAAGATTAACGTAAAGAATATGATGATTAAGAGCGTTTTGGTTAAGTTATTAAAGTACATGACAGATGTAGGGTTTGGCAATGGACGGTGATGCATATATATATATATATATATATATATGTATAGAAGAAAAGTCAAAGATTGGTTATTGAAGAAGATGGAGGAAGTTTGATGAATGGGCGGTGAAGGAATTGGGTTGATGGTGTTGAGTACAAGAGAAAAGGGACGTAGCAGAAGCCTCAATCATTCAAAAACCCTTTATGCTTTATTCATACCAGACAAACTCTGCCTTTTTGATTCAACTCCCAAACCCCTAATGTCTCGGTCCACATTCCATTCCTTTTTCTCTTTTCTTTTTAAATCACACACACACACACACATATATATATATATATATATATATGTAAAGGGTTGTATAATAACCCATCTCTCTCTCTATATATATATATGTATGATAATCAAATGAAAATCACAAAAATGTTATAAACATGTGAGAACCGATATACGAATATCCTTTACATTATTTTTTTTTTATTCAAAAGCTATGATTTAACATATTGTTTCATATATGTTTGTGTTAACGTTATTGAAAAAAATTGCATGTGAAATTATTCACTTTGTGAAACGAAAATACAAATAAAAGATATTCATATGGTGATACAAATTCATGTGAAACTATCACATTATGAAACAATATCTTAAATCCTTGCATTTGATGAAAAGAAAAATCATGTAAAGTTTATTTTAAATTGGTTCTCACGGGGTTTATAACCTGTTTGTTTGTGGTTCTCATTTGATTGAACCCCTATATATATATAGCTAGTGTTGGGTTCCGATGAGAAGAAGAGTTAACGTGAGAAGTGTAAGAAGAGATCTTCATCATTGGATGCACATTAAAATGAGATGTAACAAGATGCACTGGATTAATCCTTGTATCAAACGCGATTCATGTATGAGTTTGAGATTAAAGGTGATCAAGGGTCAAGATCACTTCTTACGGTTCTCACTTTAACTCTCTTTCTCACGCGATCCTTCACCTACATATATACCCTATATTAGAGAGGTTCAAACGAGAACATAGTTAAACTAAGACAACAAGAAAACGCTCAAATAAGATGTGAATCAAATGTGATTTTACATGTGATTACAGAACAGAGTCAACGTAAGGGTGTGCAGGTGACTTGACTCGTGATCAGGCCACGACCAAATTCGTATGGATCACATGTGCATGATTTACTATATAATCACATGTGATCTCACACTTGTTTGAACCCGACCCTATATATATGTATGCGTGAATGAATATATATATATATATATATATATATATATATATAGAGTTGAGTTCCCTTAATAACTCAAAATTTCATGGAAACTGTAAAAACTCACACACAATGTCGCTCACATGTGTTTTTAGGAAGGTGGGGCGCTTTGGTCTTTGGTTTTCGACAATTAGACATGTTGGGATCGATTTTGTGAGCGTAGAAAAAGATTTAACGACAATGTATGCTATCTTAGCATATGTTAATGTGCGTTTTAAGTTATGTTAGTTAAGTTATTTTTAGCGTATGAGAGTATGTTAACACTACGGAAACATTTCACGTTAATTTGTATGAACCTCCGGTCTCCCTCTGCCATGCTACCAAAGTTTCCTGTTATTGCAAAACTAACACGACGTCATTTTAAGCCTTCCAATCAAACAATAACAAACAACCTGAGTAGTTCTTACAGTTATCATGGAAAAAGTAAATTCTTACACGATCACAAGTCTTTACGTATATACTTTAAATTTAAACAGAACTAACAACAGATATATCCGTACATACTACAATTAAGTACAATACTTGCTTGATCCATGTACACAAACTAAAACGATGGTTTGAAATGAAAATACAGTTCTCAACCCAACTTTCCGACACTTATATGTTAAAAATAAGTTGACAACCAAGGAGGAATAAAAATCCCCTTTTGGCCGCGGAGGTTTAAATGCGGTGACTCCGACCTATCTGCAAAACAGGTGGTCACCTTGTGATTAGTCGACTCGCATAGCAGGTTGGATATCCAGATTAATAAAAAAAAGTGATAATATAAAATATAAATATAAATATAAATATATTTTGGGGCTTTTGAAACCTTAACTTTTTATATGTAAAGTACCTTTTTCTAAATTAATTAATGTCAAAATGTTGATGAAAATAACCCGAAAAAGGAAACATGAATATGTAGCAGTGTGACAATGACCTCTTTTTTATTTTATTTTAAATATTTTCATTATTATATTTAATTAATAATCCTAAAAAATATTAAATTTATACAAAAAAAAAAAAAAAATTATTTTACAGAAGGGATAGTAGTGGCTTTCTGGAGCATCCTTCTTGCATTAGCCCTAAATGGGCAACTCGAGCTCACAAAGCCATTTACGAGATCAAGATAAGTCTTGAGATCATGGCATGTTGCTACATCAATGCTGTTTAACTGTAGCGAATCGCGACTGCTTAACCTTAGCTCGTGCCCGATGTTTGCGTAAACCCATCGGCTACCCTTGACGTGCTTTCGAATCCAACCCATATCATCATGGTCTTCGACGAAAATGCCTGGTACTTTTGTGATTAGGTCATCGGAGTTGACTATTCGGAGAATCTTGGTTCCTTGTCGTTCGAGGTGGTGGCGGAAAGTTCGGTTTCCGACTCTGGGTCCGCCAAACGAGATGACTGAGAGATGGGGTGCGTGTTTGATGGTGGTTTTGATATCGTAGGCGGCTAGAATGGCTAAAGATGCCCCTAGAGAATGGCCGGTGATGGTCAGACTCACTGGCTCATCACTGTACATTCTTAGTATTCTTAAGATTTCGTCTCGGATTAACTGTTGTAGGCTCGGGGACGTTTTCGTCCCCGAGGTGTACAGGCTTAGGACTCCCGTCTCCACCATTGGCTCGTCTTTTAATTCGTTTGTGTTGTTTTCATTTCCGTCGCAATGAGTAAGAGTTGCTCGAAGATTCTCGAGCCACTCTAGACAAGTGGCGGTGCCACGGAGCGCGATGACGATGTCGCGTCTTCCAAGCCGGGAGATCTCGGCTTGGTCATTGCAAACCGCCACGTAACCTATCCAACTCGACTGCACTTGCATCCAACGTGGCATCCTCTCGATCCAACGTGGCAAAGGAATCGATGACGTGGCGAGTAAGTTTTTCGTCACCTCGTACCCGCATTCTTCGACACCGGAACGTTCCAGAATCGAGCTTTTCGCATACCGACATTGAGCGTAGGTCGGAGAAGAAGGATCAAAATCGAACGATTGGTACGCGGCCTCCACGAAGCTCCCGTAGCGTATGATCTCGCCACGTAATCCGTCATCGAGAGGGTCCAGCAAGCCTTCCCAGTTCTTGGCTCCATGGTATTCCATCCACCTCTTGCTTAGTCGACTCGGAGGTGGGGTTTGACGATCTTCACCCAAGTCAACGAGCAATCGCTCCCATTTTCTGGGAGGTCGAACAGTAGTTGTATTGGAGAAGGCGGCGGAGCACCAGCGGCGTGGCGGTGGTTCTGCAGTTGGTTTGAACGGAAATAGTGATTTAAAAGCAAGCCTCATTGTTATGTAGGTAGCAGCAAGGGAGAAGTTGAGTGTTTTTGGCTAGGTTTTTGGTAGGACGAAGAGGGCTTTATATGGGTGCGATATATACACGTGTCGCTACAATGTGACAACAACTGTTTAGGGTTTTGAAAATGACCTTTTTCAATTAATTGCATTTAAAATGCATTTTTTTTTATTAACCTAAATATCCAACTTGCCGTCATGCGAGCCGATTAATCTCGAGACGATCATTTGTTTTACAGATAGCTCAGAGTCACTGCATTGAACCTCTGTGGCCATAAGTGGATTTTTATTCCTTATTGGATTTAGGACCTCTTGGTACTTTTAACATTTGAAGCCAAACTCAAATCAATCAGACACAACCCTTGTGATTGTATTTATTTATTTATTTGGGGGACAAGTGATTTATTTTTAAGCACTTTAAAAAATATTTGATGGAGTAAATCATAAACGTTAATGTTTAGACCCATTTAAATAATCGTAATTAATGAGTGATTTTAACTATAGAATAGGCCGATAGGTTCGTTTCTTAGCAGTTTAATGAGCTTAATAAGACTTATAATATACTTGATCAACTATACATTATTATTTAGTAGTGATTTACTGATATAAAAAGTGACTTATTTAATAAGTTTCCCAGAACTAAAATAATCAAACATTATGCAGAAAAAAAATTGCTCCTTCCTAATATGAAGAAATTCTCTAAAACAAAAATCTTTTCAAAAAAAAAAAAAATATATATATATATATATATATATAGATTAATCCATACAGACAACTTTATTCATACAAAACTTAATTAAAAACTAAGTAAACAGTTCTAAATCGTTTATTTTAATATATATA